AAAAAAAAAAAAAAAAAAAAAAAAAGACTCTGTCTTCGAGTAGGAGAGGAAAAACAAGAACATATTTAAGTGTTTCACTTAGTTTGTCATGCTTTATAAAGGAAACTTTGCTGTCTTGTTGAGAATTAGCATTTAATGTTAGTATTTAAATATTATCAACATTAGCCAAGCTGGTAGTGTGCGTCTATCGTCCCAGCTACTTGGTAGGCTGACACATGAGGATGGCTTGAGGCTGAAAACAGACCATGACCCTGTCTCAAACACACACACACACACACACACACACACACACTTTTTTCTCACTTCAAACTTTATTTTCAGCAACACATTTTTTTGTTGTTGTTGTTAAGAGACAGGGTCTTGCTCTGCCATCCAGGCTAGAGTGCAGTGGCACGATTTCAGCCCACTGCAGCCTCAATATCCCAGGCTCAAGCAATCCTCCTGCCTCAGCCCACCAAGCAAGTGGGACTACACGTGTGTAGCCACCATGCTCTGCTAATTTTTTTTTTTTTTTTTGTAGAGACAGGGTTTTACCATACTGCTCAGGCTGGCCTCTAACTCCGGAGCTCAGGCAATCTGCCTGTCTCAGCCTCCCATCAGCAACATATTTAAGCATCCAGAAGTACTGGAAAACAAGGACAATGTTAGAATGTCCTAGGGTTCCATGCACCAATTTTCTTGTAAGTAGCCAAAATAACTGATTCATGATTCCACTAAAATTACTGATTTCATAAACAGGAGATATAAAATTCTCCCATCTGTAACTCCCACTCTGCCAATGAAGCCTAAAACTGTTTAAGGCTTTTTAAAAATATTTGTCTCTACTATTTTCTCTTTTGTTTTAGAATTGTTTTACACTTCAGAAGAGAAAAGATAAGAAATGTAAAAAAATCTGGTTAAGCTGGGCGCGGTGGCTCAAGCCTGTAATCCCAGCACTTTGGGAGGCTGAGGCAGGTGGATCACGAGGTCAAGAGATCGAGACCATCCTGGTCAACACGGTGAAACCCCGTCTCTACTAAAAATACAAAAAATTAGCTGGGCATGGTGGCGCGTGCCTGTGGTCCCAGCTACTCAGGAGGCTGAGGCAGGAGAATTGCCTGAACCCAGGAGGCGGAGGCTGCGGTGAGCCGAGATCGCACCATTGCACTCCAGCCTGGGTAACAAGAGCGAAACTCCGTCCCAAAAAAAAAAAAAAAAAAAATCTGGTTAACTCTGCAGAATGAATTACACTTTTTTTTCTTGCTCCCAATCCCAAGTTTTAGTATCTACTGCTGTGTTCTTCTTAGCATCTTTTTACAAACTAATACATAATTTTTTTTTCCTACAACCATCATATCATGTGAATTTCTCCCTCATTATAATTGCTATCTCTTCACATCAGTTCATAAAAATTTTATTCCAAGCTGGAGCCGGGCACCATAGCTCGTGCCTGTAATCCCAGTACTTTGGGAGGCTGAGGCGGGTGGTTCACCTGAGGTCAGGAGTTCGAGACCAGCCTGGCCAACATGGCAAAACTCCGTCTCTACTAAAAATACAAAATTAGCTGGGTGTCATGGCAGGTGCCTATAATCCCAGCTACTCAGGAGGCTGAGGCAGAAGAACTGCTTGAGCCCAGGAGGCAGAGGTTGCAGCAAGCCGATATTGCACCACTGCACTCCAGCCTGGGCAACAGAGTGAGACTCTGTTTCAAGAAAGGAAAAATCAACAACAGTAGTTAGGTATCAGCATATATTAACAAAGGTAAAACACAAGCTTGCAAGACTGTAAATGTGCTGAGTTTTAAAATAAACTTTATTGACCAAAAACAAAAATTCTAGGGGTTGTATCTCCTTTTAAAACAGAGAGGGCTACTGTCCTACTTACAGAAGCTCTTCTATTATCATTCTAACAGGCTATCTCAGCAATTCCTTAGGGTAGTTGGTTTTAATACCTGTTAAATAAATAAACTAATTAATGAATGAATCAGTAAACAAATTCTGAGGACCTCAATAAACAAATTTATTATGCTATCTCATGCTGCATACTATATACTAGCAATGGCACAGTACGTAGCCTTACAATAGTTACAAGACTGGGCCATGAATTCATCTTTAGAACCAGTTTTCCCCCACTAGTATTACATATAAATAATGCGTAAGGCGGGGCACCGTGGGCCTCGCCTGTAATCCCAACACTTTGGAAGGCTGAGGCGGGCGAATCACTTCAAGTCAGTTCGAGACCAGCCTGGTCAACATGGTGAAATTATGTCTCTACTAAAAATACAAAAATTAGCAAGGCCCATGGTGGTGGGCGCCTGTAATCCCAGCTGCTCAGGAGGCTGAGGCAGGAGAATCACTTGAACCCAGGAGGCAGAGGTTGCAGTGAGCCAAGATCACAGCACTGCACTCCAGCCTGGGCAACAGAGTAAGATTCCATCTCAAAAATAAATAAATAAAACTCTATATTCCTGGTATTTAAGTTATATTTTATGGTTTTTAAATCTGTAATTCAGGCCGGGCATAGTGGCTCACGCCTATAATCCCGGCACTATGAGAGGCCAAGGCAGGTGAATCACCTGAGGTCAGGAGTTCAAGACCAGAGACCAATACCAGCCTCACCAACTTGGCGAAACCCATCTCTACTAAAAAATACAAAAATTAGCCAGGTGTGGTGGCACGTGCCTGCAGTCCCAGCTACTCAGGAGGCTGAGGCAGGAGAATCGCTTGAACCCAGGAGAGGCAGAGGCTGCAGTGAACCAAGAGCGCACGACTGCACTCCAGCCTGGGTGACAGGGCAAGACTCTTGTAGTTTAAAAAGAAAAAGAAAAAAAAAAAAAACTGTATTTCATTCTGCAGAGTTAACCAGATATATTTAATTTTCGTTTATGCCAATATACCCAGTCCATTCACTTCAAATTTTACCATAACATAGTCCCCTT